CGTCTGATCTTCGCTGGCAAGCAGCTCGAGGACGGTCGCACCCTGAGCGATTACAACATCCAGAAGGAGTCTACTCTTCACCTGGTGCTGCGTCTTCGCGGTGGTAACTAAAAAAAAAAGTACCTTGCTACTGGAAGCAGCTTGACAGCTTGGTTAATAAATGAATGTCTTCGTCGCAATTAATTTCTCATCTGTGTGCATTCCTGTCGTTGCACTGGGAAGGTTCCTAGCGATGTACTCTATAGTTGGAGCTCTAAAGAGCAAGATGACAGAAATTCAAGCTGCGGGAGGCAGGTGCTCATCAATATTTCGTTCTATACATCAAGACGCGTGGCAGACTACGCGCAATTGGGCGCTCTGGAGCACAACTCACAACTCCCCCTAGAGCTTTTACAACAGGAGTGTTCTGTAAGGAGCATTCTATCTTTCCTCTATTGCATGTATTACTAGTATGAAAGTGTAACCCCAGACCCATGCTACAGCGAATCGAAATTGGGGCTGAGCTAAATCCAACAACATGCTTACAGTTTTAAGCTGACGAAAAAAAGAGAGCAATAACATTCTCAAAAGCAACAAAATTTGAGGAATCAAGGTACTGGTCTCGCAAATACCTTGATTCCTCAAATCTGCGCCTGTCACCTGTGGCATTGCGTGCTTTGGGCGATGAGCTCTGATGTAAATGAGCTCGGCCAGCAGTTCTGGGTGCTCGCAAACGAATACATGTACATTTTTGTACCAAGTTGAAGTTGTCACAAAAAGTATCCATTCAAAGTGGCTGCTTCGCGCGTCCAACATTGCATCGTCTCACAAGTCTCCAAAAAACATTAGTTCGCGTCAACCAAGACAAGTCTCACTTCACATTTTACCTCACAACCATCAATTCACATTAATCGAACATGCCCATTCCCCGCAACGACTTCCTCGTGTTGTGGAAACTCTCCAGATCTGGCGACGAGGTCAAAATCCAAGACGAAATCGAGCAGTCAGACGCTGTAGCACGCAATTTGGTGAACTTCAAGCATCACCGCAAGGGCACCACGCCGCTCATGGAGGCTGCTGCTTGCAGGGGCGGCGAACCGGTTGTAGCCAAGCTCATTGCAGCCGGCGCTGACGTCAACGACGTCGACGATACCAAGGTCAAGAACACTGCACTGCACTACGCTGCAATGACCAACCGAGACCCATTAACTACCGAGACGCTGTTGGAGGCAGGAGCAGACGCCTTTGCCGTCAATCGCAAGGGCTTCACGCCACTGGACGTCGCCCGCCAAAACGGCCGCAAGGCAGTCGGCGCTGTGCTAATGGACCACATGAAAGTGCACGCTGGTTGGCTGTACTTGCGTGGCAAGTTTCGCTGGAAAAGACGCTGGGCAGTAGTGGTGGCTTGCAACAAACAGCGCACCTCCACTGAGCTCTGTATCTTCCGTCGACAGGGTAATTTGCGTCCGGATTTAGTGATGCTCATCGACGAATCAGCACGAGTGGCACATTTCCCATCGACAGACAGCTACTCGTGGCTTAAGCGCGACAATGCCTTTGTCTTCGACAAACCTGTCATGTGTCACCGCATTAAGGGGCAGAAGTTCACACGCGCGCCTATTTGCAGGAAAACCATGAGTCTGGATGACGTGCAGACGCTCCACTACGTATTCGCCGCAGACACGTTGAACAACCTGGCTCAATGGCGCCGCGTGCTGCAGAGCTCCAACTTCTGCTCGCGTGAGAGTCGATCATCGTTGTATCGGACATCGCTAGTCGACACGCAGAATGGAGAACTGTACTACTGGCCGCACGAACTGGTCGAGAATTTGCGCAGCTCGATCTTGAGAGAGCAGGAACAACAAAGAGAAGAAGCTAACGACCCACTATACCAGCGTCTTCGCGCAACACTCGAGCAGCGCCAAGCAGAGCCTGCTCCGGCAGCTCAACAAGCCCCGCAACCGCCACGAACCCCAACACAGCCTCCTCCATCGTACGAGGAATCAGTCGATGAGCTGCCGCCTAACTTTCAGAGGCGAGCTACACCTGCTCAACATGTTGACCAGTCCAGGGCCGTAGATAATCGCGATCGAAGCCGAGTTCACTTTACACCCACCCAGCCAGTCAAGTACGTCGAAGTGCCGTTGGCAGCACAGCACCCGTACATCGATGGGCAGGAGACCAACTCGAGTGTCAGTATCGTCACCGGAAGCGAGTTTGATACCGCCGGTCCCGAGTTTGCCACCGGGATCATGCTATTAACCGATAGTGAGTCGCATGCATCTCAGCCCCAGCAAAGTTCAAATCAGGAACAGGAGAACGACGACAGAGCAAAAGAAATTGAGCCACAAAACCAACAAGAAGAGTCACCGCAACCTACTGAAGATTCTGGTGAGCAAGAGCAGCAGTCTTCCGAGTCCGAGCCCGATCTATGCGGAATCTGCGATGTGGCACGACGAAATGGTATTTGCACGCCATGCGGACACCAAGCCGGCTGCACCGGTTGCCTCAAGACTATCATGCGCACGTCAAAGGGGGGCTGTCCGACGTGCCACATGCCCGTGCGTTCGGTGCTGAAGGTACACGACTAAGGTATTGCTGTGGTAGTAGCAAGAAGATAAACTTACCAACGGAAGGATAGTTCTATTGAAGTACGTGGAAGTTAGTGTAAACAGTTTTTATGCGAATCTAATAAGTTACCATAGTATACCACGACATCATCTTTTGTGTACTGGGCTACGCAATAGTCGAATTGCTATGCAGCCATGCGAACTCGAAAGAGTAGTCCGTGCCTATCGAAGTACATGTTAAACCACACAACACCGCCAAAAAGATCGCGATATCCATCGTACCATAGTGCTCAAGGGAGATCTGGGTCGTGTAGAAAACCCATAATATTATTGCTGTCTGAACGTGAATCATCTCTCGATCAAGCACGAAAACGAGCTGATGCATCGTGGAGAAGTCAAGTCGCCGCTTGAGCGTCAGAGTGAGCACAGTGAATGCTGTGAGTTCGACGAGGCTGTACAGTAACACGTTCAGCACCGTCTTAGCCAAATGCATCGAGTCCA